ACCTTTATCATCATTTTTATTTAATAACACTTTTCTAAATGACTTAACTGAATTATTACACACTGCTAAAAATAGAAATAAAATTCAAATTGGTAATACAGTAGAACCTCGATTTTACGTACGGTACGGGACCAGAGGGCGTACGTAAATCGGGGGATTCGTAAAATAGAGGTTGGGTTAAATTTGTGGTAACCTTTGACCTAATACGTACGTAACGCTCAATAAACGTATGTACGAACGAACGATGATACCTACTAGGCTAGACCTAGCCTCTAGGCCTACGAATAAAGCCATGTGTTTAGTGTTCTTATTCATCACTTTACGATGTCATAATAAAGTGTTCAAATAAAACCATGTGTCTAGTGTATTAATTTATCACTTTATATCTTTTATTTAACTAAAATAAAGAACATGAAAATATTGTAAGATTACCTATACGACAAAGGTATAACTTGGGAATTCCCCTTCATGCCTACTCTAAACAACAGAGATGGTGTTGTCTGGGCCTGTTGAGACAAACTAAACCCATGTGCGCTGCACTGGGCGAGCCAACCAATTAGCGTTCGTGTACGTGAAACAGCAACCATGTGCTATGCACTGGGCGAGCCAACCAATTAGCGTTCGTGTACGAAACTATGTCTACTCAGCTTCGTGTAGAAAATTCGTCCAGACGAGTTCTTCTATGGTTTGCCACACGAAGCTAAGGAGGAAAGCAATAATTTTGAGCACCATCGGTAGTTGTTCATCTTACTCAGTTCACATGGTTTTAGATTATAACAACCCGGTATTAGACTCAATCAACGTTGCTGTTTAATGAAAATACGTTGCATTATGGTTTGTTTATTGTTATAGTTTATTGTTATATTCTTTTTACTTATGATTGCTCTCAAAAGGGCCGTTTGTTTTGAATATTTTCGGGGTGTTTGATGACGTCATCGTCCATACGAGGCGTACGTAAAACAGAGGGTTCGTATAACTGGGGTACGTAAAAACGAGGTTCTACTGTATATGTGTTAACAATTTGTCATATTCAGATGATCTTGTGTTGATTAGTGACACAGTATATACCTTACAATATTTAGAAATTGAAATAGTTAAATCATTTAAATATATTGGTGTCACTTTCAACTCTACCGGAAAGTGGGAAAAAGCAAAACAAATAAATTGCACACAAGGGGATAAAACATTCTTTGCACTTAAAAATGTGATACAAACAAATTTTGGTCAATTAACAGTAAGTATTTGAAATTGTCTATTTGATGTAAAAATTATCTCAATTATTTTATATGGCGGCGAAATACGGGGATTAAATATTCTCAAACATATTAATGATTTCCAGATCAAATTTTATAGGTATATTTTAGGAAATGGAAAATCTGCACCCAGTGAGGCAGTTTATGGGTGAATGTGGAAGGTTTTCAAATTCAGTAGATTGTATTATTAATGTTATTGGGAACCTTTGATTAATATGGGCGAAGATAGAATTATCAGAATGTGTTATAATTTACAGATGCAGAAAACACAAAGAGATGAACCTTCTTATGGTTATCTCAAAATATGAATGATATCAATGTTTATTTCTGAAATTAAAATTAATATTAATTGAAAAGATAAATTCATATTCTAAATTAAGATATTACAAAATTTAAGCATACGTTTGGAGTAGATGAATACTTGATACAAAATACTGATTTTAAATATAAGCAAATCTTCAAAAAAATAGAAAGTAAGGACAGATTATGCAAGTTATGTACCTTAGATAAAATAGAAGATGAATGTAATGTTTTAGTTTGCCCCTATTTTATTGACAGAAAAACATTTCTACCACATTAGGTTAAAGAAAAAAACTTCAATACCGGTATTTCAATTCTTTCATTTAATGTCGTCTAAAGATGTAAATATTGTTATTAATTTATCAAAGTATGTATATTATGCATATAATTATAGGAAAGTATATTTAGAAACCCTCACCTAATTTTTATTTATGTTTTATATTTTAAAAGGGCTGGAGATCTATTTATTGAATAAAAGCCTTTGGGCACAAAATGATAGTAATTATTATTTTTGAAAAAAATATTGAAAAAAAAAATACTACCTGCATTTTCCTAATGGCCCCTAGTAAGCTTGGGTCCCTGGGATCTTTCCCCCTGTCCCCTCTCGGTGGCACGGTGATGAGTAAAATTATGGTAAAGGTCACAAAGAAAAATGTAATAAATGCTAAATAGAAGTACATTTATTTCTAAGAACTGACATGGACAGTACTTTCTGAAGTCACAAGGTCAATAAAGAAACATCGAAGCAATAAAGAAAAACAATATTGCTAAAAAAAAAGTTCACTGACATATTTCTAGGTTGATGCTTAAAGGCTGCAAGAGAAAAATAATAAAGCTAAAATGAAGTTCATCATCTTTATCCAAGGTTATTAATATCTACAGTACATTAAAATATCACAGAAAAACATAAATGCAAACAAAAGTATATCGATTGATTCTAGGTTGATTTGGACATTATATTCAAAGGTTACAAGACAATAAATTTTCTGTTGACTTCTACCATGACCTGACACTGGTTTAGAACAAGAACGAGTCAACTATCATCATTTATTTTTACAGTTCTGTTTGAAAAAGTTGACAATTGGCAATGTATCAAATTAAATAGTAATTATAGTTTTTGATAAGTCTGCAGAATATATCAGGATAATATAAACACTCTAGTTTTTATGATAAACATTATTCCTATAACTTCTGAAACTTCTACTATTAATGGCAATGGTGACGATGGTGATGACATTAATGATATTTTAAAGAACATTCATAAACAGTAAAACCTAACTAACATAAATTTATAGGCACTACCCAAAAAGATTACCGTATAACTTTGAACAGACACACACACACACAATAAAAAATTGTTTATTTATTTTGACTAAGCAGCGCCCATGATCAGAGCTTACAAATTTGCTCAACAAACCTAAGTTAAGTCCATAAGCACAGGCGATGTGACTGAATAATTTTGTACAGTACTATACAGTATGTGTTTATTCTACTTTTAAATAAATATAATTATTGCTGTTAGATGATTTCTTAACAGATTTTTAAAGATGTCCAATGAATCAGCATGTTGATTTGATGCAGGGAAGATATATACAGAACTATAAAGAACTGTGAGCATGGTTCAAATATAGTTTAGGTGAAGATTTAGATGAACTGGGACAACCTTAGAAGAAGAGATCTGGCAGTGATGATAGATACTGAGAATATTGATTGTGGATAGTGTACAAATTTATATGCAAGTGATAGGACCTTGAACCCTACATGCTGTTTGATGGGTAATAATTGTACAGTAAAGATACATGATCTGTAGTTTGGTTTATATTTTTACTTTCTGAAAACTACTTACTTCCTTGCAGAAATGTCAGATTTTCTGACTGAAATATAGTATTGTGCTTAACAGTAGATTCTAGAAGAGTAGAATTTAAGATGTTTGATAACTGGTACAGTTTCCTATATACTTACTCTTGAAGATAGCTGAATTAAACAATAAAACAATGAAATTTTTAAAGCACAATACAGATGGTAGCAAAACTATAAATTTATAAAAATTTCTGCCTTCTATATAATTGTACTGTTTATTAGCTTCTCATTGTTTTGTCGTTGTTATGCAATGGATACGTCAGCCACCCACTAGGGTCTGTGACACTTGGTTAAGAGCATCATTCCTGATATATATTTTTATTGTCTACCGACAAAGTAACTGCGGCAACTATAATCATCCAATATACTACTACTCAATCTATCCCAAGAGATACAAACACAACCATCCCCATATTGAGATACTGTATGAAATAGAATTCATGTACAAGAACTCTAAATTAACTATTGCTTTTTGAAACGTACATACAAAAAAAATCAAGTTAGAGAGAAATAAAATCCTTGAAGGCTTGCATTAGATTCATTGAAATGTGATGAAAGTAATTTTCAGTTCAAGAGCAGACAGGGAATAAAAAGCAATTGAAAAATAATGAAGATATGGATGCTTGGATCAGGAAATAAGGGGTATTTGAAAGAAGATCAACGTGTCACACTTGCTAACCATCCTCCTCACAGCCTCTTAGGAAAATCCATCAAGTCAGATTATTTAACGGATGAGAATTATGTAGTAGATACTCAAATGATAAAAGGTTATCATTTAATAGGTTTCTTTTTTTTTTATAAACCCAAGGGAAATAACCGTGCATGAATAAACGCACTACATATTTTGTTTATACATCTGTGATTGTAGCATGGGAATATCATAAATGTAAAGGTATTGAATAATATATATTACACACTTTCTCAATGTGCCAGAAAACTAACTCACTCAGTAACTTACTACTTTCAATGGCAGATCAAGGAATTCGAAAAAGTGGGGGGGGGGAGACACACACAGAGAGGGACTTTCACTTGATGACCTCAGTTCCACCATGATTGGGGCTGAGGTAAGAAAATTTATGATTATGGTGCGATAGCGGGAAATGGCTAGATGTAAAATCTTCTCTTATTTCTTTTATTTTCTATATGAACAACTGCTCTTTAGCTCTTTATTGTTATTGTTACAAGTATAAATAGGCCTTTAAGTTCTTATGATTTATGATGTATTACAGTAGCTCAATAGGCTAAATGTCTCATAATGATGATTTATTGACAGAACTCACAACACTGTTAAAAAAAATAAGGCCTCTAGGTGTACTGACCGTGGCACTGCACTGGGGCCGCAGTTCCCAATGCGCGTAATCTGAGCATCCTTGTTCGCATTTTCAAAAAAGGATCATAAACACTACATTTACATTCACATCTTACCGGCTACTTATATTTCTAGGTGAAGACTGACAGTGGAGGCAGTAATTTATTGTCCAGATTATTCATTTCATTTTCATTTCATTTATTTAACCGAAAACAATTGCAATATAAAAGTTTAAAACAGTCAAAAAGAACAAAAAAGATACAATAAATTATACTTACATTCCTGCACTAAAGCTTCCGACAGTAACAATGATACAAAGCCAAGATAAAAGGTTGATCCATTCCATTGCTTCAAGTATGACTGAAAAACTTCATTCACTATATATACAGAGAAAAAAGACAATAATTTCACTATCCATGATGAAAAATATTTAATAAATTTGGGAAACATTAATTGGTAATAAGAATTAGGGTATTGTGTTCAAATCTTGATAACTGAAATATATTTTTCTCTAAAAATATGATCAAAATAACTACTGTATATCATTGCAAGTTATTCATCGATACTATAGAGAATTAGCTTCATAATTCATTGCATGTTAACCCATCCAAATGAGCTTACCAACTTGGCTTCATTGCTCTGACGGTGAAAGCCATGGGTTTGAATCCATGAGTCTTGAAATGGGTGCGAAGGTGAAGTGGAGGGCTCGGTGATTAAGTGAGGGGGCACTACCTCACAAAATAAGGTGATATGAGGAGAATTTTCAGAACTTGAGAGTAATTTTTATTTTTTAATTAATTTTACTGTCAAATAAACAATTGTTGAACACAACTTTTTAAAGCTAAGCGCCAGAGGAAAAAAATGTTCTGATATGTTGTACAACTGAGATATAGATTTTTGAATATTTAAAATCTGGGGGGGAAAATGTGCATAACCACCTGTTTTTCACCTTTTTCTGCCCCTCACCCAAGTTTTTAAACATTCAAAAATCTGTATCTAACTAACTGCTTCTGAGTTTTTCATCAAATATGGTTTTTGTGTTTTAGAAAAACCAGTTGTACAGCATATAAAAAAACATTTTCATCCAGAGCCTGGCTTTAAAATTTAATCCATCAGAAAAATCCCAATGTTTCATCAACACTGTAAAAGACAACCTCTTGTGATTGGAGAACAACTTTGCAGTGTAGTATGCCTACAGTAGATCGGAAATGTTGTCAAAGTCATAATTAAAGTCATAATTCATTATACAGTACTTTATTTATTAATAGCTTATTAAATTTTTTTTTAAAAGCCTGATGTTGGCCCAGATCTATCCATCTTGCGCAAAAAAATGGTCACCTGCTAGGTCAACAAAACAGATGTTTTGATGTTGAACACATTGCATTGTTGTCCATAATTTTGCATGATGGAATAAAATATTTGGTGGGAATTTTAAGATAATACAGTATCAATATCAATGAAATTATCAAAGAAACAACGCCTTCTGGGGCCACCTCTATTGCTGTCAAGATTGACAAACAAAAACAGACTATGAACAGAAACAACAGGGGGGGGGGGGGATATACAAGCTTTCCCACATTTTTGACCTACTCCTTTAACCTGAAAGGCCGGGGCCAATGGAACCAATCCTGACAGGTTAGAGCACCAGAGGGCATTGTTTTACACAGTGCCCAAAACAACTGTTGCTAGCTGCCATAGCCTGACAAAGTCATGCTAATCATCTAAAGCTAGCAGTAAGTTACATTCCATAGTGCTTGGTTTATAAACGATTAAACAGTCCTACAAAAAAAAGTAACTTGCTGGTACTTTGGCGTACAAATAAATCCAGGAGATAAGTTTTGAAAAACTTTTTGTGTGGCATATGAGCCAATAAAAAATATTTAAGCTTGACTCACAGACAAACATATTTATTTTATCTGGTGCAGTAATTATTAAAGATTACTACAAGAAAATATGAAATGCCATTCATTAAATGCTTTGATAATAACGAATGCAGTTTTATAGATGAAAGTGCTTAAAGTAGAGGTAAACATTGCTCTCATGGCAAGATTAATAAAACTACAGTGCACGATATCAAAGTTGTAATCTATGCTTAAAAGTTGAAAAGAAACGGCACATTTTAAGTACTGAAATCTGCTGCTGAAGTAATAGTTAATAGTATATTAGTTTGCCAAACAATTTTCTTTACATTTTTTGAATTAAAATCTTTTTTATTAATTGCAATGACTGGCCATGGACTCATTAAACTCTGTGACCCTTTATTAAAGAGGGTTCAGGAGAAACATTTTCCACTAATATATCATTCATTCCTCACATCTTTGAAGTAATTATTTGAGAATCCGACGAAAAGGTTGAAAATATAATGGAGAAATACAAAAATGCTTGCTACTGTAAGTGGTAAAAAAAAAATTCTTAACAGTTTAATCTGTTTCATGTGTGCAGATAAACAGAATTAACTGCACTCTCTTATGAAAAAGTGAGTGATTAATGAAATAAAAAATCTTACAGATAAAAAGTGTAGTTGAGTTTTTAAATATATTTTTTTACCATAGTTGTTATGCAGAAGCCTTCATAAACCATTTATTGGAAGTGACCTTTGGGCAAGGGTTTAAGACGGGATTTGGCTTAAGACAGAGGCTGCGGATCCACAATTTGCTCAATTAAATAATTGATTGTGTTGGCCTAAATGTGAGGCATTTTTAATAAAATAAAACTTTTCACTCTGCAGTATATACTTCTATTCAACATTACTATTTTTTCCTGACTTTTATTTACCAATGTTTATCTTTTTATATGTATTTTTATTAAATTTTGAGGAAATGGCCTTCCGAAATATCATCATGAACAAACAAGTGCGCCCTATAAATAGCTAAATGATTAAGTTGTTATTCATTGCGAAGTTCTGCCACTGGTCAACTGAATGCTTGCCCTTAGCCCTATGTAATGTAAACAGTTTGTAAAATCAGATAGTATTGTACCAGGGGATCCATCAAGGTTAACCATGTTAATTTTGTCTTCTTTGGGGCTTCTGATGAGCTGACAACACCTGCAGAAAACAAGAGTAAATGCCCAATTAAAGCCAAATTTAAGTCCTGTGGGAAGCTTTACATTTCTGATTAATTACAAGCTTACAATCTTCCACACTGTTTCTTTTTATACACAAAATTATATAATAGTAATATCATAGCTTCCTGTTTGAGAGATATCAACACACTGATAAGATAAATGTGAGGTCTCTCCACGAAATGAGACGCATCGTTGGTGAAATCATATTGAGATATTCACCAAAATAGGTCAAAGGCAACATTTTTACAAAATTTTGATTTTAATGTTTTTGAATAACTTGATACTTATATTTTATGATTGTGTACTTTTTAAGTGAATTTTCTTACTAAAAGTGTTCTCTTCGCATATTCTGTAATTCTAGTCTTATTATTTGTACAGGTTAGTTTATCTTTAAGGCCGATTTTCTCAAAACCTGGTTCTCATACACCTAAACTTTAAATGCTCACATCTCTGGATCTATTTATCTTAGGGAAGCCATTCAAAGACCAAATTAAAGCTTATAATGTGATCTACCAAAATATAATATAAACTCATTTTTTGATTTTCTATTCGATGAGACTCATTTTGTAGTGAGACCTCACAAACTTGTTAACACAACCAATTTACCTAGTACCGACGAGTTCATGTCTAGTAGAATATCCCTTTACTAGGCGTTAGTCTTTTTTGTCGTCGCGGTGGTAAGGTGTGTTGAATCGTATAGGTTGAAAAGGCGAGTATTTTACTATTTGATTAATAATACAACCTTTAATTTATGCTACGCTAGTTTGGATCTTATTATTGTACTCGTATTTAGATAGCAAAAAGGAATTTTAATTCCTCATGATAGCTTTTCTTGAGCTCACTAACACTTTTTTTCAGAGGTTTGGCCCCAGTGACAGGCCCTATAGGCCTACACAATCTACTGGCCTAGGATAGCTTGTGTCCAGGCTGGATATTTTCACAATATTTTAATCGTACTTTTTATCATTTGAAATTTGTAGGTGTTTATAAAGAAACAATCTCAAATGAACAATTTTAATCTGGCTACCTAGCATACATACAAGTACAAACAAGAAAAAAATTCGTCTCGATACACCTTTTCACTCTCCCGGCAGGATTTAGACCTAATTAGTCTAGTCAGTTATTATTACCACTTACTAGGCATAGAGCCTACTGTAATAATTATTTGAAAATGTTCAAACCCCTAAAAATGGACCCAGGTATGCCTAGGCCCTAGTTATGGCATAGTCAAACACTTTCTTTTTTTTAACCATACATTCAATTTGGGTATTGCTGAGTCTGACTTGCCACCCCTACTTAGTGCCAATGCTACCACCATGATTGATGTCCTAAGTGATTTATTTGACACTAACCTTCCTTGCTTCAGTGCTGCATAGCCTTAGGGCCCGTTCAAGCAAAATAACGCCAACAGTATTCTGTTTAATTCACCGGGTAATCGCGCTAAGCACTCAGCGGGTGGTCGACCGTTTCGGGCAAGTTTTAGCTCACGGTAAATATGTGTAACGAAACTACTCCGGAAGTAAATTTCAACTTATCCCATGGTCAACAACCCATTCTTTGTTTACTTGCTACTGCTGCTATATAACCGGCCCCCGTACACACAGCGCGGCACGGTAGAACGATAATGTAGCTCAATGACTTATAATGGCTGCTTTAAAATCTGTACGTAGGCTAGTTTATTCAAGATTATTTCTCCGAATAATAGTAAATCTACAAATTGAACGCGTAGCTATGCTACTAAATTTAGATTTCGTCGTGCATTGTGTGAGGAGGCGAAGGAGAGCTGCAACCACGCCTGGGCCGTAACCTACCCAGCAATTTGGTGGTCAAAATTGTCGCGGATAATCCAGATGGTAAGGTAATTAGACTAGTGTCCAAGCGGTTTTAGAAAGTGTGTACCGGTAAATCGCACAGATATTTTTTCGCTCGAACAGGCTCTTAGCTACCTCTCAGTGGTCTGTTTATTATTTTGGGCCTTGAACTTTACATACCTGGTTTGGTCTTTCATTTCATATCAATATTCATTTAGTACTAACTGTTTGAGACTGAAAGGCATGTAGGTCATTGTAGCAGACAATGGTTATGTTGTGCGTCCATACAGTACGAGAAAATCCCAATCCGGATACCAAGAATATGATGATCGAATCACTAGCCAATAAGAAACTGGAAATTGTAAACGGGTACATGTGATTGGTTGATGATAGAAACGTGCTCACTTGCTAACCGATAGCGCTTGCTAACCGTTAGCGGTATCCGGATACCGCTAACGGTTAGCGCTAACTGATCGGGCGTTCTCACACAG